CACCTCTGGGAAACTATCGCTGAGAATGGGCTTCAGCACCCACCCTGCTCCTATCAGCAGTGCAGACACACTTGAAACATGATAAACATAAGCCAACGCTTGGGCTAACAAAGACTCTGTCTGTGTATGGATGCTTTGCTGTGGTTCCCAGGAATAAAACTAGCAGTGTCAGCTTGGGAGGGCAAGGGGTGCAGATGAATACAAATGACAGAAGGACAAATTTTGTGAGTTGAAAAGCACTGGTGGCTCCAGGAGGAGATCCCTGAGAAGCCCTGATGCTTCTCTGTTTACAAAAGCAACTGCTCTAGCCAGTCATATAACCTTGGGCTTTAAAGCCTACCACGATGGCGTGTGCAGTGGGAGAACCTGGGTTTGGGTATATTCTTAGGTTCTCAAGGAATTTTTGACATTGTCAGAAATAAAGGCATCTGTAAGATGCTGTTAGACACTATGAGAAATACTGGAACTGCACCACGCACCACTCAGACTGGCTTCCTCCTTTTCTTTATCTCAGTTTCCAAAGATACAGGAATCCAGGAGCAGCTAAAGCCAGACTCCCTGAAGAGGAAATTATTTTCTCCACAGATCTAAGCCACTGGAACGGGTCTGTGTGTGATTTAAAAAGCATACATGTTTCTTCTTATTGTCTTCCTTACACCCGCCTAAGAATATGTGTGGCGTTTTAAATTTTTTTACTTTTTATTTTAGTTGCTTTTTATTTTAATTACTTTTAATTTTATTTACTTTTTACTGCTTGGACTACTGGCATCAGTGATGCAGTACCTTAATGTGCATTATCACACATAACTCACAAATCTAATTGACATCTATGGGGAAGAGTCAGGCTGGAGACAGGTGTGGGAATACCCGGTCTCATGTTTTACTCCTGCATGGGAGTGAGTATTCACATGGCTTTTGCAGACAGAGAAGGACATTTCTATGCACTAGGGCTGAGGAGTCTACATAGATTTTTGCAGCCAGCAACTAGTCGTTTCCCAAAGGAAAATAAAGAAAGGAAAAAAAAGCATTAACATGCTGAGATGGTAAAGGATATAGGTTTCCTAAGAGTCCTGACCATTTGCTGATGGCTTAGTCCCTGAGCATTTGGACCTCTCCCAGCCTCACAGTCATCTCTAGCCCCAGTGTTGGTCTGGCATGTGGCACGGTGACAGGAGCGGCGAAGAGCCACGGTGGAGCTGGTGCAGGGAAACCGCAGAGCCCTGCTTGCTGGTGGGCCGGCCGAGGCGAGCCATCTCACACCAGCCTTCCTCAGCGTTTGGAAATGTCGGGTACGTTTGTGCCTCTGCCTCGCCTCCGCCACCAGCCCCAGGGAGACACCGGCGGGCGGCCGGGGCGGGAGCACAGCATGGCGCTGCTGTCGTGAGCCCACGGGTGAGAAAAGCCTCTCCAGATGAGTCACACAAAGTCCATGTGGTTTTCATGCTGGCTTGAGTAGTTGTAGAGGCATCTGGGTCTGACTGCCCGTCTCCTCCACCAACTACAACCCCGACGGTATTTGTGAGTCTGAGGTGCCTTTGATGGCTGCTTGGCCACACGAACCCAGTAAGAGAAAAAGCACAGTTCAGGAAGAAGATGGTGGCAGAGCAGGTGTGAAAAGATAAATGTTGAAATGCTCAGTCTGCTTTAAAGTGGCACGCAAGTTGCATTCAATGGCATGAAAGGTTTCAGTTTCTTTAATTTGAAAGTATGAGAGGGGAAAAAAAAACCCACACCAAAAAAGCCAATTAGGTAAGATCCATCGGATACCAGCACTGAGCTGCCTGCAAATGTACAATGCTGCATCTATGAAGGTCTTGTGTGTGTCTGTGTCTGCTTATTCTTCAGGCTCAGAAATCTTTCAATGGTAATTAATTTAGTTTAATGGTAATCTGCTTTTGGCTCAAGATCTAAAACAGTATGCAAGTATTGACCATCAGAGAAGTTACCGGCATGATGCTGCCAAAGTTGCTCACCAGGCAGAACAGTCCTCTTGGACTCAGAACTGAACTTTTTCAGGACCCAGAGTCCAGCTCCCAGGTTAGCATCACACGGTCTTCCAGGCATCGGAAAGTTCCTGCTGGCTGTAAGTGCACGCCAGAGCAGTGTCACGGAGGCCGCCAAGGCCATGCATCAAGCTACGGCAGGAAGTGGGGACAGGGCTCCTCCACGTCACGGCCAGAAGGCCCTAGCTGCAGGCAGGTTAGTTCAGCAAGCCCCAGCTAAATCAACAGATGGAGAAACTATTTTTGTCCACATGGACATGTCAATTTTTAATTCAGTAGAAGCCCTACAAGAACCTGAGAAACTGCTGACCTCTGTGCTGGGCAGCAGCTGTGGGCTGTCCTCCATGCAAGCCTCTTTGGAACAAAGACAGCCCCACAGTGGCCTCCCTGCCAGGGGCCATGCAAAGGGACATCTTGCAGCCCTGGACCTAGCACCTCTCTCACCCTTCATGAGTCCCTTTCCCTTTCACTGCATGGCAGATCGATCATCCTCTCCCCCTGATGTGTCTGCTTTGAGGGCATAGCTCTGGGGCAAAGAATAAAGCTGGCTCCCTCCATGACATGAGCTGGGTTCCCCCACTGACTGCGTCAGCTCTCAGAAGTGACAATTGCATGCTCAGCTACGTGCACAGTCACTGTAGTGCTAGATCAGCCTATAACACAGACTCCTTCAGTAGCCAAGTATACCAGGCAGCAGTTAGGTATTTATTGCTGGGGGGGTGGGGGGTATTCAGAAACACACTTGAAAAATCTGGTTATCAAGGTAGAACACAGCAGCTGCCAGGCTTGCATCCAGCTCCAGCATTTACCCTACAAATTGGTCACTGTGGGAAAAGAGCTTTCACCCAACACCAGTTGCAGCTACCACCTCTGACCACCAGTCAGTCAAAGATTTACCAAAAGGAGGGAAAAACAAAGGGAAAAAAAAGGGGGGGAGGAATAGAAGCAGGTGAGGAGAATGTAGCATCTGAAGAGATCTTTTTAAGTTCTTCATGACTAAATAATCATTAATTTGCTTATGAAGAACTCTTTGACCCTTCACCCACGGCCGGAAGCCGCTGTGCAGCAGGAACTATTTGTGAAACCACTACATGGAAGGGCAACATAGTGTAGGCTCAATATGTCTGATGTGCATTTGTTTCACCTTTCCCACCACCCCCCACAAACTGAAAATTAAGCATCGAGTTTATTTAAGAATCTTTACTCTTTTTTTTTCAATTTAAATTATACTTCCAAAATACAAGTAAAAAAACCTCACAATATGTTGCTAATTTCTACAAAATAGTCTAAATAATAATGCACTTACATCATTTACACAATTTACCTTCACAATAAAATAGGAGCGCTTAGACCAGTATTTACATATTGACAGAGAACGCGGTCATGCAGCCATCTGCTTCTGGTGCTGTCTCCTGCTGGGGTACCTCTGGGAGACTGCAGCCCGCAGTTGCACGCAAATCCTTCTGCAGGGAGAAATCCCTGCCAAAGTCTTTCTAGGTGCAGGGACCTGCCCATAGGGTGCCAAGGAGACCAAAATGGTGGCAAATATTTGCTTTTTCATCTTAAAGCTGCCACTGTAGCACATGAGCACACATCAATGAATTATTTAAGGAATTCCCTGAATTTTGCTTCGCTATATTAGGCACTTCATTATAAAAGTTATTTATTATGGCTTATGCAAAACAATTCGCTTTGCTCAGGATATGTACTTGCCAGAGTCAGTGGGAGAAAGAGACATGTCCAAGGGCACACTTTGAGCCAATGTTTTGGGTTTGCCTGCATTAGAAATTTAGATCATATTACTTAATATCAGTCCTGAAGGAAGTATTTTATCAAGACCCGATCTTTCCAGCAAGTCAAACAGTCAGTGTATTTTAAAGCTTAGTATATCTGCACTTTTCCCCCAAATTATTGGTAACTAGAGCTTTCCCTCTTACAATAAGTTAACTACTTAGATCCATGCTGTTCAATGTGCCATTGGGTGACATATCCCACATATGATTGTCTTAAAAGAGTACACTGTAGGTTGAGGGATTATTTACATATCTTAACATGTAGAAAATAAAGTTGTAATTTACCAATTAATAAATATAGATCAACAGAGTACAATACTGAAATAAAATAAATTAGAATGATTCTCCAGGTGTTGAATTCCCTCCCGTAAGGCCTGAGCCAGAGACCATAAAAAAAAAAAAGTGATATTTTTTCAATGGCTCAAAAAGGTTTTGGACAGGGCTTCTTATTAGACACTGGCTGTTTGAAATGAGATGTTTAGCTAAGCTGACAGGTATTTGAAATCTATATCATCAAGCAGCAAAACTTACCTCTTAAAAGGAGTCTTTTGGGTAAAACAATTTAGACCAAACATTAATACTGCGTTTATTAAGAAGAATATAGTTCTTGCAGATTGTCTCGACATTAATTCAGCAGCAAGGAAATAAGCATACAGTTAAGAACACAACGTATTTGTAAGGCAAATACGTGTTAGTGCACATGATTTTCCAAAAACTTCACTCCTCAGCTACATTTGTGCATATTTCAGAATGCTTCTAACTAGACGGTTAATAAAAGTCTTCTTGTGACTATAGCTAAGTTTGCCATTAAAAAAATTAACTGAAAAACAGTTAGAAGTAACTTAGTCAAGAACAACGCCAAACTTCAGGTCCAAATGTATCAGAACACTGAGAAATTTGGAGTCTAAGTAAAAGTCTTAAAACTTAGGTCTATCAAACTTAAAACAAAAAAAAAAAAAAAAAGAAAAAGATTAAAAGCAGTGAATCTGCTCTCAGAATTGCACGCTCACCAGATTTGTAAACTCCACATGAAGTCAGTGATGCACTGGTCACTATAAGAGGTATAACGTAGATGCTCTATGCAAAGCAGTGCAGATGCTTTGGCTGTAATTTACTTCATATCTCCTTTTTCTCTTCCGTGAGGATTAAGCATTTAAAGTAATTCAGTAGCTAAAAAGTCTGTCTTATAGGAAAAGGTCTGGGTTTACATGGAAGGGGGGGTGACAGGCGTCCACGTGGATGCTAGCCTGGCATGTGCGGAGGCATCGTACTGGCTGTCGGGCAGGTCCGTGGGCGCCCCGCCGTCATACAGGGGGGAGGCGGAGGAGGTGGCGGGGACCGGGTGCGGAAGGGCCGTGTAGTGCGCTGGAGAGCCACGCAAAAACTGGGAGCTCAGGCCATTGGACATCCCGCTCGACTGAGACACCGGCGTGATGGTGCTGTTACTCACAGACCACAAGTTAGGATACTGACTGAAAGAGGGAAAGTGATAAATAAAATAGGTTACTAGTGACTCCAGTGCCTGCTCAAGTCACAACACAGCTCCCAGGCTGGGTTTCTCTGCTGGAGACAGTGAATTTCCTTAGGAAGCTCCCAGCCACTGCGAGGTAGGAAGGACTCCCAGGCATGAGGTCATGTTCATGGCACCCCACCAATAAATCAAACCTCCCTGTTTTTCCCACAGCAGGTCCAGCACTGGGTATGCTAGCAAATTTTAAGCCAAGCTGAGGAATGAACAGGCTGGCCTGAAAAATGCAGAAGTTTGCAAGCCGATTCCTGAGCCATGGCTCACGGGAAAGCCACGTGATGGGGGCAGACAAACCCAGACAGGTTTGAATTCATTGCCATGAGCCTGTCAAAGCCCTAATTCCCCTTGAGTGCCTCTGTAGTCAGAGAGGGACAGATGCCTCCAGACAGCAATTCATCCCTCCTAGGACCTTGTTCATCATCTCATGTTAGAAGGGGAAGAGCTAGATCGATGGCTGCAGATTGCACAGATACTACAGAAAAGGCTGCTTAAAAGGAAAAAACCCTTGTCAGGACACCATAGCCTCCACTCTCTCTCTCCTCTGGGTATGTACATACACGCACACATATGTGTAACACACATATGAATTAAAAGAAACAAGCCAATTCAAGAGAAACACTACGAGAAAAAAATTCAGTCCTGCTGTGTAATACCACACAGCGCTTTCTACCTATCAATCCCAAGCAGTTTAGCAAAAAAGATAAATAATTCTTCTTACTTTAAAAAATAGGGCCTTAGACAAAAGGGATGGCAGAAATGCCTTCCTTGAGGTCCCACAGTTCCAGTTCTAAGGGTTTTATCTACTGGACAACTCTTAGTGCAGCAACTGAAACTCAGTGGACTTTGCAACCTTCCAAATATGTATCCTGGGGGCCAGACATGGAAAGAAGTGCTAGGAGGACCCGTTTACTTCATTAACTTATGTTCAGGACTGAACTTATGTTCAGTAATAGTTATTTTACACTGCGCGGTAGTACATGCTCTGATTAGTAGCCAAGTGTCTATGTGCATGGTTCACATAAAAATGCTTTCCACAGACTGTTAGATCTGAATTGCCCATAAAGATGCCCAAACCTCAGCCCTCTGTGGTTAATACCAAAGATTTTAGCACCTTATCTGTATTTCTTTGAATTTGCAAGTTTAGCTCCAAGGGACTGACTGTAAACTAAATCTCTGCTAAAGTATCCAAAAGTTTCATTAACATAAAAAGTACAAAGAGGAGAAAAAGGTACATTTATATGATCACAAAGTGGCAAAGGTTTTGACCAAGTGTATAATCCCACGCTATGCTGGCTTCTGTGGCAAAGCTCAAGTAAAGAATTACTGCCCCAACCACTTGCTCCTTCTCCACTGTATGGTTCGCTGCCCCTTCATTTGTAGCAGAACAAGGGTTTGTGGAGATGGATAGGAAAGCAGTGACTGGCTAAAATTAAACGGATCAAAAATAACTTTTTAAAGATTTTTTTAAAATAACTTTTAAACTTTCTAAAGATGAAGCTTAAGAGAGCATCCTCAAATTCAATGGATGTTTAGGTGATTTGCAATCCTTCATCTATCAAATATTGCTGTTACAAGTATCTACATTTCCAAAACCAAAATGTAAAAAAAATAGTTTTTATCGTTTCTTCAATCTTTTCCTTGTTAATAGTCCTTCTCAGTGCCCGCCTCCCTGAGATGGCCAGTGAGTCGCACATGGCCATAAGGATTTCTAATTTGCTGGTGACTCTTTACCTCCTTTTTCAGCCTTCTCTTCCCAGAAAGTATCAATATAGCGATTTGAGGGCTGCCGAGGGATGGACTCCTACCTGGAGCTGGTAGCTGTGCCAGTGCTGTGACTCATGGGCAGCATCGTCGTGTGTGCGGGAACTCCTAGAGAAGACCAGTTGTCATGGGACTGCAGCATGGAAAGGCAGGCAGAGGAGTTATCGGCGTAGGCTGCTGAGAGAACAAGCAAGCACCTAAACACACTAGAATTGGACCAAATAACAATCTTGTATTCAAACGCAATTTATAGCTTTAAACCACCCTCCCCATTACTGCCTTGCAAAAAACCAAACTTCACACAGAGAAAAATGAAGGCAGCTACCAGCTGTGTCACGTTCACTAGCATGCCCCTGCTGATGTGTTGTTTTGCTCAACTTACAACTGCAAAGTCTTATTTCTATGAAGGATCTACGGCCAAAAAGCCGTCTTCAAACCACCTGCTAATTCAGCCCATGCTCCCTTATTCCGTCAGTGGGAAGAAGTGGGCTCCTTACTTACACTATCCCAATCACTCTTCCAGGGCACCTTCTTTATCTCCATCACCTACATTGGCAGTAACAGCCTGGCAGCCCTGGATCACAAGCATATTGCTGGACCACACATCCCAGTTTTTGAGCTGAGCATGCCACCACAGGCTCTGAAGTCTGCCTTAGGCACCATTAGGAGTGACTGGACTGTGTGGCTTAAACTGCTCTGCTTGTGACCAAAACTGGCTGGCCAACATGGCAGAGGCACTAGGAAGCTATAAAGGGAATGCTATGCAGCCATCCATAGCGAGAAAGAAGTTGCTGTGGCAGCTGGCTAAGGGAAGAAGAGGTTCCTTGCTGAGGACCAGGGAACAAGAAGGAACATTGGAGGTGTTTTGTTCTCTTATTCTGTTTCAAGTCACAAGACTGGCATAAAGTTTCCAAGATGCAAAAAAGGTCCACAGAAAGCTAGTATATAGCTTTGTAGTTCATTTTAAAGTGGAAAACAAGATTGGCCAGACTGCATCTAGAAGCCTGTGTGTTACTTCACAAATCAATTTTTTTTTTTTTTTTTTTTTAAATGGGAACCTTCAATATCCATACAGTCTGAAGGGCAAAAATTGTTAACAGGTCTTTACCAGAAGAAAGAAAAAATAAAATTTAAAAAAAAAAAAAATATCACTGTTAAAAATGCCCTTCTCTCCTCTCCCTTAAGTACCTATGGCTTAAGGCACTGAGCCTTAAGCTGTTTGGCAATTTCTGAGCACAACTTTTAAATAGCTCTGCAGTTTACTCAGCTCCATATTATTTCAGTGTATGCAGCTGTGACACATTCATTGAGAACAACCTTAGTGCATGGATGTTAACTACAGCAACAGGCAAGTAAAACTGACAGAATCAGGCCCTCAATTATTACATTAATAACAAGCGACACTAACAGAACCAGACATATACTTTTCATTTCATTGTATTACCTATAACTAATAATTAAAATGCTCACTTACAAACTTCACTTAAAAAAACAAAACAAAAAAACCCCAATATCAGTTTAAGCTCACTGGTTACAAGAATTCACGAGCACAAGACAAAGCCAGCACAATATAATCTAATCAATTAGCAGGAGACAGTTCTACACACCCTCAGTTTTTCCACCGTAAAGAGACTGGGGACACGTACTCATCATCCCTGTTTCTTTGCAATGCCGGCCCCAAGCCCTCTGCGCAAACAGAGCTAGATAGCGACCTCCATTTCTGTGGCATCGCTTGAGGCGCCCACCACTCAGCGCTCGCATCCCTCGGCTCATTTCCCACCTTTTTAGAGAGCTGCAAGGTCAGACTTACTTGGCGAGTTGTTTCTATGGGTGTAGGGGTTGGGGTAGGGGGCAGGACGGTGGTTCCTCAGCGATGAGTACCTTTCACAGCTGTGAGCAGGGGAGAGCGACAGGGGGGCTCCGAACTGGGGGTGAGGATTGGCAGGTGGGCACAGAGTCCCAGTCCCAGGAATAAGCCAACTACCTACTGGGGGGAAGCAAGAGGTTTGTAAGATGGGTGCGTAATGCAGCCGGGCAGGCAAAGAATCACAGAGCGATGAGATAAACAATCAGTCAGCGAGGAAACGCACGCTCGGGAAAGGAAACAGAGTTTCAACGCAGCTGAAAAATCTGGGTCTTTAAATGATCTTATGAAGGCAAATTAGATAACAGGTTAGAAAAAGTCCCGTGTCAAGCTAACATTATTTTTTAAATTACCATTTAATTACAATCACAGTAAGGAAACACTGAAATGGTTAAACCCTCCCTTATGCAGGTAGTCTGTGCTCAGTAACCGTTAGTGTAATCTTCAGTTTTAAGTTGCCCTTTGGGGGTCTCAATCTGTAGCTAAGCTCTGAGGTTTCTCAGACTGCTAAAAGGAACTCTTAAAAATTAAGTGTTTTCACTGAAACAAAATAATTCCTACCGCAACTCAACTTCCCCCCTTTATAGGCTGCCAACATTTTTTGACAATAATCTGCTAAAACAGAAATTGTTAACACACTAATGCTTTCTATTCATCTGAAAAAAACTTTTTAAGCAAATGCCTCTAATTTTCTCAAAGTGCTGAATACATAAGTACCATCTCAATAATTTTCTGCTGCATTTTGAAATAAACTTTTGTCTCCATATTCATAAGAATGCTGCTGTCCTTCTATACAAAGGTGGCTGTCTTTTTGGACACAAAGGCAAGATTCCATTAAAGATGTAAAGATGTTTTGAATGTAAGACAGAAGTCTTAACCACACACACAGATCATAATGTTTATACAACCATAAACCTGCATGAACCACAATCATAAGGACTGGTAATATTATTCTCCCTATGAACTAACGAGCCAGCCAGCAAACACCGCTCTCGGAGTTTTGCTTCACTTAACAGATGAGACGGAAGAAATCCAAGTTACATTCATGATGCAGAATGAAAGAAAACGTACACTGCGAATACCCAGACTGCTGGTTCTCTCCCGCTTCCTCCATCATGTCTTTGTGATCGCTTCTATAAAACAAACCGAATTGTATTAGTTAAGAATGTGCTTTTACAAATCTACATAAAATATCTACACTTTAGAGTTAAGAACTCTCACCTTTCTTTTGCATCAAGAAACGCCTTTGCAAATGGATTGTATTTAATTTTTAAAGCTGTGATCTAAAAACAACAACAAATATTTTTATTTGCAAGTATCACCATCCATTATCATACAGATATTAGGATCTGAGTTAGGACTATCCACTGAAGTTAGTGAAATCACAGATTCGTGAAGAAATAAGATTAGGCCCATAATACCAACCTATGGACATCAATTAAACAGCCCCTAAAGCCTGAAGTATTAGCAGAGGGCTAGGAATTAGTCCCTCTGCCAAATTCAAAGAGACTGAATTGCCTGGGTTTATTGATCAGCTAAGGAAACAGCTAAGAAAGGTAGTACACTAGAGAGTTATAAAAAGCTTCACATTTCAAGCCAGAGCAGAACGGGCATTAAAAAAAAAAAGTCTCAAAAAGATTGATAATTTACAGGTTCGTTAAACATAGACGTGCATGTTGGCTAACAGAGAAAGGCCAGTTTTGAAAATGTCATGTCAAGTTATTTTACTGTACAGCTGAAAAGGACAACCGTATTTCTTACCATACTTGTTTGCCCCACAGAATCTTTTAAGAATTACTCTCCTGCAACGAATTTGCAGTGCATATTGAGACGCACAGTGATCAGAACTTTGTGCTGTTGTACATTCATTGGGCTTTTACATCTATTAATTTTTATTTTTTTTTTTACATTTACCTTCAAACAAAGCACAGAAAGAACTGAAAAACGTGAAACGAGATCCATTATTTTGCTCTACAACATGCACTTTGCCACTTGAAACCTCCTGGTACTTGCGTCCTTTCTTCCCTGCTGTGCGTACCTCCTCGTTCTGGTAGGCCGTCACGGCTATAAACTGGGTCTCCGGGAAGGAATGGCTGGTGATCATCCGCTGCGGGCCACCCACTCGCACTATATGAATCCTTGGCTCGTACTTGTGCAGAGAGTTCAACATGATCTGCGAGCAAAGGGACAGAGCGGGGTCAGCAGTGACAGAGCGGCGGCAGATGCTGGCAGGCACAGAAAGCACTCAGGTTTTAAAGTATCTACTGATCCATCTTTCCAGCAGAGGAGAAAGAGGCAACAGGTACCAAAAACCCCTAAAGCTGAAGCTGTAAGAAAAGGAAAGGAGCACCGCAGTCAGACACCCCAACTTTTTGCCTGCTTATCCCTGTCACTTGACAGGGCAGCTTGCGTAGTCACAAACACGCTGGTGATACACAGCCAGAAAGATGCATCCACTGCACCGTTGGCGTTACCAGATACTCAGACCAGAAAGACATTTTTAAAAAGAAAGTCAAAACATCGAGGCTCCCATCCTGGGCGGAAAGACCAGCTCTGCTGAAAGGCGGCAGCCTGGGGGGGGTGGGGGGTGTGAAGCGCGGCCCAGCCCAGGCCAGCACGTTGACAACAGCCGTGCACAAACGAGCACCGGGGAGGGGGTGAGCGGTGGGTCCCGCAGGGGCCGGGCGGGGCGGGGCGGGGGG